CTAGAAAGCAATAAAATCCTAAAGCTACCATAATACTATTGCTTGGCTTGCACACCAAGCAATTCTAGAATCTTCAAACTTTCGCACGCCCCAATCCGTTTGGCCGCCTCTCGCGCGTGTCCCGCGTCGCGCACGCCTCCCTTGCCTAATCCTCGCGGGTCGCGGAATTGCTGGCGTCCGCCCTTCCACGCGCGCGCAGATGCGCGCGCTGCCTGCTTGCGTGCCCCGACTGGCGCGTCCCAGTCCAACGCTCCTATCGCATTTACTCCCTCCGCGTTTAGGCACGTACCCGTGTGTGCCTTCCACTCGCGCGCTGTCGCGCTCTGCACGTATTCCTCGTGGCGCGCGGCAACCCGCGCGCTTGTCTCGCGCGCAGCGCTTATCGCGCACGCTATCCGTCCGTGTGCCGCGCCCAGCGCGTTGCTGCCACCCGCGCATACTCCAGCCGTCCGCGTGTCGCTCCAACCCTCGCACGCACCCTCTCGCTCGCTCGTCCTCTCGCGCGCATCAAGTCCCGATGCGCGTCGTTGGCTCGTACCTGCCCACCCGCATGTACTCGCACATCCGTTCATTGGCCCATAGCAATCCCCCTCGCGCGCTATCCACCTAACAACCTCCCCCTGCGCGCCACTCCGCCTAATCTCCAATCGCCATGCACGTCTACGCCATTGTGCGTGTGCCCGCCCTTGTCTATTGCCTTGTACGCGCCGCTTCTCGTGTGCTCGATTGCCCCGCATACGCGCTCGTACTCGTCTTTTAGGCCACGCATGTGTTGTTTTGGCCCTTTTTCCAGCCTCATCAGGTCGTCTCGCCTCTTGGATCTTCTTGTCATCGGGGTCCGGGACCCACTTCCGTATCATTCCCGCCCCCTTTGAGAATGTCCTTGTCCTCAAGGACTCATCCTCAACCATCCAATTCTCGGGCACTTCTTCTTCGATCACGTGCACATCCCTCTCATGATCCTCATCGACCTGTACCAACACCTCGACTACAAACATCTCTTCATGTGCATTATACGGTGCGTGCATCTCGTCATGGCCTCCATCGCCCATGACCCAAATAGTCTCCTTGACCTTGGCTTCTTCGGATTCTTTGACCTCGATGAGTTGTGTGCGCCGTTGCCACGCGCACGTTTTGCACCAATCACCCGATCTTGCCATGGTGTACTCGGCGTTGGTCTCCTCGTCCGTGATCTCATCGACAAACAATGGTTCCTCGTACTCGACTTGGTCGACCACCTCTCCATCAACATCGTCTCCGCGCCCGATCGCGCCACCAATTACGTCGACTATGTCTGCTTCTTCAGCGTCTATGCGTGTATCATCGGTTTGATCGTCGGGCATAGATGGGCCTAAGTCGTTGATCGCGACCATCACCTCTTCGACTTCGAGCACTTCGGTCTCTGCGATCATCATGTACGATTCCTTCTCACGGGCCGCAACTTGTTGCCCTTCCTCCATGATCTTGAGTTGTTTTTCGTACTTCTCCTTTTGTTCGTATATCTCCTCCAAATAATTTTGTTCCCATGGGGTCAAACTCCTCCCCAAACCTTCAAGGTATTCAAGATCCTCTTGATCCCACTCTTCTAATGGATCGAACAACATTTTTTTTTTTTTTTTTTTTTACTCTAAAAAAAATTCGAAAATAAATAGGGAAAAAATTCGAAAATTTCGAACCCCCAACAAGACTCAAAAAATCGAAACAAAAAAGAAATCCGGCCCCTCAACAAAAGGTAATAACCGAAAAAAATCAAACAAAGGACCAACAAGTTGACACTTTTTTTTTTTAATGAAAAATTTGAATAAATTCGAAAATTTCGACACAAAAAAGAAGAGAAATTCGGTTCCCTCACCAAAAGGAAAAACCGAAAAAAAATAAAGATACGATAGACAAAATATCGATGAGCACCTCTCAATGAAAGCACCAATGATGACGGATCGATCTTTTGTCTATACTGGGTTGCGAATAAACGACGCACTGAGGCCTTCGTTTATCCCCGATAGATGTATCTAG